AAGAGCCCGAGCGGCTGCGACCCACCGTCGCACTGTCAAGAGCTGAGGCAAGGGAAGAAGAGCCAATGAGATAGCTTGACGCCACGCCGTTAAGTGCTGGTGAAGACGCATGGGAGGCACTACTCGAAGCTGTCGTTGCACTGGGCGAAGCAAGGAGCTGAGTGGTTGGGTCGTGCGGGTCCATGCCGTTCACTCTGTGGTCTGCAGCCGTGGTAAACGAGGGATTCTGAACGGAGAAATCGGAAAGCAGTGAAGGAGGCATTACTTGGTCCCGCAATGTGGTAGAGACATCCATCGCAGCCAAATCAACAGGAGGGGACAAAGAACCCATAGGCAATTGCATAGATAACGGGTCCGAGGGGTGAAAGATGGCTGACATTTGTGAGGATAGGTGGGAAGGATGTACCGGGGGGATTGGGAGGTCAGCGTGAGGGGAGATGACGGAGGGGAATGCAGCCGAGATTGTAGCCGACTGGAACTGCTGAAAAGATGTGTTGTCGATCGGTGGAGGGGAGCCGTTACCTGAGTCCTGAGTAGAATCCATTGTGAGAAAAGACAGTGTGGAGGAATAGCAGAAGCTATCCGTTGGATGAACGATGTAAGCCCCCGTTCAAGGAGCGTAAGGAGAGTCTGATTGAGACAACGCGGGCGGTATATCGATCGCGCGTGTTGTACCTGAACTCTCAGGGGACTGAAAGAGACTGTTCGGAGTATGTCAGTAGATATGGCATGAAAGAAGACAGTAGATTGCTTGCGTACGGTGAATGGCACCAGACAGAGAGGATGGGCAGGACCTGCTGATTTTAAAAGAAAAGCCGAAATCCGGAGGGTCAAGATGCAAAGGCTGTGTACGGCAAGACAGCTGCTAAATGCAGCTGAGCTGTACTGTGGTCGTCGGGGACGATGTCGAAGAGTGCGGCGACCAGCGTGGAAGACGGTGAGGAGGAGGGTGTCGGGAGGAGGATGGCTTGGAACGAGGAGGACGAAGGACTCGACCTGACAGACGCCCGTGAAATGAGAATTGCCCTGAGATTCCCGTGTGACAAGCGTGACAAAAGATCACACGCGCACTGCAGCTCTCCCACGCACATCGATCTCCTACTTAGCCTTTTGCCTTTCCGCGACCCAGACTCAACATTCCCGGATTGCTCTGAGCTTTCTCTTTGTCGCCCAGGTCGCCACCGGACTTGTAAACCAACTATGCAAGGATCCTTGCGCTGCATCCGGTGTGGCGTTACCAGTCCAGGTCCCCTATCTGCTGATGGTTCAAGTCCCGACACGCGATCTTGTTTGCTGTGCCCAGTTCTTTTGTTTGTTTGTAACCTTGTTCGGATTCCTCATTGCTCTTCCTGAAATTCCCTCGCTCGTCCATGTGTTGCCGTTATTCACGGTACATGCTTCAAAGAGTTGAATGGAGCCATCCTCGGCGTTTGCATCGCAATGACGGGACTTGAAATGACGATTCTGGTTGTCATTCTAGGCCGCCACGCGCAATCTATATCGCTGTCCGCATGCATGAAATGAGGACGGTCTGGAAGGTCTGAACTCCCATATTGAGACGCTTGCAGCGACTAGCTCGGAAAGGTCGGGTCCGGACACATAAATACGTCATTCTTCTCGTTTGAAATGCTAACTATGCCTTAAATACACCGTCACGCCGTGTCACTGTCACTGTCCAGATCTGTCACGTCCATATATCACTCGCAAGTGAACGGCCATGGCAACCTCGAGCAAGCAATTCAAAGCCATCGGCGAGGACATATGGAAAAGTCGCGCAGAGAAGACCGTACGTAAGGGCAATGTGTGCATATCCCGCCCATGTATATACCTAACGTTCAGTTGTAGAACGCAGAGTTGTTCGCCTTTACATATGGCGCGCTCGTAGTCCAACTCATCCAGGACTACGAGGACTACGATGAGGTTAACAAGCAACTGGAGAAGATGGGATACAACATCGGCACCCGTCTCATTGAGGATTTCCTTGCCAAAAGCAGCGTTGGACGCTGCTCGGACTTTCGAGAGGTCGGCGAAGTTGTTGCGAAGGTATGGGATCATGTACAGGTGACCCGCCATGGGTCACCCTCCCTCGCTTCTCATCTCACCGGGACCTGTCTTCTATCTCTTTCTTTAGGTCGGGTTTAAATCGTTCTTGAACATTAGCCCGACAGTCATCCATGGTGCCCCACCTCCCCCAGCCTCGCCGGTGATCGGTGCTTCCCCACAATCGCTGCTCGGAGGATCGTCGTTCACGCTCACGTTCGACGAAAACCCCCTGGCGGAATTTGTAGAGCTGCCAGAGGAGGTTCTTGAAGGTGGTCTCTGGTATAGCAATGTTCTGTGCGGTGTCCTGCGAGGCGCACTCGAAATGGTGCGTCGCAAGTTTCATCGCCTGATCTTAGCCCTCGGTCTGAAATGAAAACTTTCAGGTGCAAATGCAGGTGCAGGCGGTCTTCATTTCGGACGTCTTGAGAGGCGATGAGAGCACGGAAATACGGGTTACTTTAATCAAGCACTTGGAAGAGGAGGTTCCCGTAGGAGATGATTAAACATGTCTTCTTAGAAGAGCTATAGCATACCACGAAACTGCACGCACAGCATCCATTAGCTATCCGCCGCAGTTTCTTGCGAGAGGAACGCACTCACAATGCAAACACATCTAGTTTCGACGTTCAACCCTATTAAGCTTCCTCGCCGTCTTCGAGTTATGTCTTGTGCTCTGTCCTCTAACTGGCAGACCCATAGCATGCCTCCTTCCGACATAACTTCCAATCATCCTCTGGTGAGCAATGTTTTCCCTAATCTCCCTCCTCAAGTCCGACTCTATCCGCAACTCCTGCAATGGGTCCTTGCTCTTCTCCTGCGCGTCCTTTTCCTTCTTCACAGCCAAAGACGACATGGCGAACGGTTTGGCTCGCAATGTGTTGACGCGCGGAGGCGCAACCGGCTGCACCGGCGCGTCGGGGGTGTTGGAGGGGGCAGAAAGGAAGGCAGTCAAAGCGGTGACTTGAACGGGAGTGAGGTGTCGGATTTTGCATCGGTCATGAATTTGGTAGCGAGCACATATCCGCTGTGCGGTGGCGGGACCAATACCGTAGAAGAATGTCAAGGCATACTGTGACGTGACAGACAATGTTAGCCTGACGATGCAGTAACTTTGTTTAACCATGAACACGTACTGGAACATACAGATTGTCCCGAAGAAGTTTTCCGAGGATATGCATGCTGGGTCCAAGGAAAAGCTCACAATACCCTCCGACGTGGTGAGTAAATCAGCTCTGACGATTAGCGCCCCGCCAAACACTCCAGCGTCTAGCGGGATGAAGGCGTTTCTCTCAATCACTCACACCCACGACCCTCATTGCATTCTCTACATTAATCAACATCGATGGCCGCAAACCAAGGGGAGGGGCGACGGGAAGACGCTCTGGTTAAGCAGCGTACACAGATGCGCGAAGAGTTCGAACGGCAGAAACAGAACCTCATCAATGAGACCGAGAAAGCTCGGCCGTCTTCCAACCGTTTCGTTGGACAGCATGACTCCATGGAGGATACTCTCAAGAAAAGTACCGTCGGACTGGTTCATTTGGAGGAATTCCAGCAAAGGAGGAAAGAATTGGAGGAGGCGAAGGCGAGGGAAGCAGCGAGAACGAACGAGTTGAAGTATGTCAATGTCGTGTTTCGCCACCTCGTATATGCGCACCACTTGCATTGTATAGGTGACTGACTGGATGTGGAGTGTATGTTTAGGGATGACCAAAAAAAGGTGAAGAAGCGCAAGAAAGTAGCTAAGTCGACTCTCTCGTTCGTAGTAGACGACGAAGGCGAGGACGGCGATGATGTTGTTAGCAACAAGAACAACAACGCTGAGGACGAGGACAGCCCCTCTGCCAAACGTCCGAAGACGCGAAAGAACCCCAACGTGGATACGTCCTTCCTTCCTGACCGAGATCGTGAAGAGGCTGAGCGTCGCGAACGCGAAGAGCTTAGACAAGAATGGCTGCGAAAGCAAGACGAAATGAAGAAAGAGGAGATAGAGATCACCTACTCGTACTGGGACGGGTCTGGCCACAGGAAGAGTGTCACTGTAAGTTTCCGTTCAACCATGGCTTCTCAAACAATCCAGTTGCGCTGACATCCCAGACACGCACATGCATGCAATTCGCCATTCAATCTCGCTCTCACTAATAGTGCAAGAAAGGAGACGACATTGCTACGTTCCTGGAGAAGTGCAGGCAACAGTTCCCTGAACTGCGGGGAGTGAGCGTGGACAACCTCATGTATGTGAAGGTACGTAAAGTATCATCCAACGTCCACCACCATCTCCATCTTATACTATACCCTTTCATATGCTTAGGAGGACCTCATCATACCACACGTACGTCTCATTTCTTCACATTGATTCCCCCTCGAAACCACTGTCTCAGAAACCGAATACTAATATCGTACATAAACTTCCCTGCAACGCGCAGCACTACACCTTCTATGACTTCATCGTAAACAAAGCCCGCGGCAAGTCTGGACCGTTGTTCAACTTCGACGTGCACGACGACGTGCGGTTGCTCGCTGACGCAACCGTCGAGAAGGATGAGTCTCACGCAGGGAAGGTCGTAGAGAGAAGTTGGTACCAGCGGAACAAACATATCTTCCCTGCTTCCAGATGGGAGGTACGTTTATGGCTTGTTCTATTATCAGTCCGTGCACACTGACCGAGACTCGCGTTATCAGATTTATGTTCCTGATAAAGACTACGGGAAGTATACCATTGGCTAGGTGATCGTTGTGGATTTCTACCGTGTGACGGTCACAATTGCTTCTGTGTTTTTACATCTTCCATGTTCTTGTAACCACCCATTTTGGAATGTTCACGAGCGATCCAATGCTGCGCATTGTCTTACTTTCTCGCGAGACAAATGCAATCTCGACGGTGGCAGACGGCCAAAAACGATAATTTGCAGTGGCGTTCATCAATGTTGAGCAGGAAGAAAGAAGAGCAAAAAATGCGTCACCTGAGCGATTCGAACACTCGCGTGCAAAGCACAACCGCTATAAATGCTATGAAATAGCAGGCGATCCCGTTAACCACTCCGGCAAAGTGACCTGTTGAACAATCAAGCATTCGCAACCTATAGATCAAAAGCCAAGGGTTATCGATACATGGAACAAACTAAGACTCAGGCTCGAACTTGTAGTTTGTGGTTATGCTACATTGCTACTCATTACTGACCTGCCTACGCAGTAGTCTCTTGCTCTATGAACTCCCTGCAATACTGGACGAGTTGTTGTGCTTGTTCCTCCGTGATAGCATTGTAAAGAGAAACCCGAATTCCTGCGATGATACCGTTAACGACACATTCGCAACTATAAGGAATTAAGCACAGATCACTCACCGCCGACAGATCTTCAGAGCAGGAACAGTGTCAATCATATTCACCGAGCACAAAAAATAGAGTGCGACGCACCTGTGCCCTTTAAGTCCCGACATTCCCCTTTGTGCCGCGCCCTCCAGGAACCTCCGCTCCGCCCCGTCCCCAAGCACGTCAAACACCACGTTCATCCAACTCTCCGATCTCGCTTTCACCTTTGGTTTGAAGACCCCTCTCTCTTCACCTTCCTTCAGTACATCGTATACCAAACCAGCCTTCTTCCTGTTCAGCTCCTCGTAATACTCCACACCGCCCATCTTCTTCATCCTTTCCAACACCAGACCTGTCATGTAAATCGCCAACACCGAAGGGGTGTTGTACAAGCTCTTGGAGTCGAACAGTGTTTTGTAGGAGAGGGTGATCGGGACGGGCGCAGCACCACATTTCACGGCAGCGTCGACGTCGACTATGCAGTCTTGCCGGACGATGATAATCGTCAAACCCGCGGGACCGACATTCTTCTGCGCGCCGGCGTAGATGATCGCGTGGTCTGCGAGGCGAGGGATAGGCCTGCACATGAAAGATGAAGAGTAGTCCGCGACCAAGGGTACGAGGGAGTCCTGGGGTAGGAGATGGAAAGGGAACGAAGTCGGGGAACTGCCATCATGAGAGAACTCAACGCCGTCGACCGTCTCGTTCTCGCAGTAGTATATGAACGCCGGATCCTTCGAGAACTTATAGCTCTCATGAGGCGGGATGTTGTCGAACGCTTTCCCAGTGGCAGAATGCCCACGAGAATCAGCAACGATTTTGACGTTCCCGCCTCCTAACCTCCTCGCCTCCTCCGCCGCCTTCTGACTCCAACTCCCCGTAACGACATAATCCATATCCACGTCCTCCGGCTTCGCCTCTGGATGGAGCAAGCGGTACCTCGCGAGCATGTTCATGACCACAGCGGAGAACTGCGCGGACCCACCGCCCTGAGTGAACAGGATCGAGTGCGTCGGGGGCACGCCGAGTTGCTCGCGGATGAGCTGGGAGACATTCTCGACGAACGAGGTGAACTCTTTCGAGCGATGGGAGATTTCTGCTATCCCGATGCCTGTGCCTTGAAAGTTGAGGAGACCCTTTGCTGCCTCCTCGAGGACGGGCACGGGAAGAGCGGAGGGACCGGCCCCGAAGTTGATGATGCGCGAGTGAGATGATTCCGTAGACATTGCGTGAGGATCCGTGCTGCGTGACCAGGATGAGTATGCAACGATGTGCAGCACAAGGGTGGAGGCTGAAATGGCTGGTAGCGACGAGTTGACCTCGCTGACTCGATCGATCGATAGGGCACACGTAGATTGAATGCGATTGGGAGGTCATTACTCGTAAGACACATCACAGCGAGGGAATACAGAAAGCGAAAACAGACAGGCAAGTTATTTGCAGTGAAACGAAGAGGAACGCAGAGTCATCGTGCAGAGCAGGCAGAAGGAATAGCGAACAAGAATAAGTCAAAGCAATCGTACAGGGTAGCTCGGAGTTGGTACAACAGAATACAACAGGAATAAGATAAATGCATGTCTGGAGCAAGCTTAGTGTATAGCCCCAGCCATAGCACCGTTATGGTCGACGAAGCAAAAAGCGAATAAATCAGAAGACAATAAATGTCGTGGACATTAAAGTAACTCTATACTGTTGAAGATGGCTGTGGTGAGCTTGGCCCACAGGAGAGATGGTGTCGTTGTACACTGCCGTATGGCTTTGCGGCGCATGATGATACATTGAGGAGATCGAGCACTGGCGGCTCGGAGATGATGCAGCGGGAGTTCCGGGGCCGATTATGTGAGATGGAAGATGGAGGGAAAACCACGTTGAGATGCAATAGATACCGGTCCTGGAAGCGTTTGATTCGTTGATCGACTGATTTGACGTCGGACGGAGGAGAGATGTTGTGAATGATTGTGCAGGTTGCCGGAATTGGTCTTGAGCTGGGGAGATAAGTGCTGGAGGAGAGCAAGTGCAAGGGAGAGCAGAGCGAGCCAGATTTGACAGCGGCATGGGTGAAGCCGGGACATCAACGATTTCGGTCGTATACCGGAAGAGCTGGGAGAAGCTCGTGAAAGATGATGTCGTTGGAGTCAAATTTCTCGGAGGGAGGAGGTGTACGGGTATCGAGCGCCTCCCGATCAAGCAGCGGAAGAAGGGGAATTGGTTGGGGTCGTTTGCTGATGCGATCCAATTGTGAAGATGCGGACGGCGACGCTAGAGGATTCGAACGCAGTGAAGATTTGCGACTGCGAACGGGACCAACGCTAGATGAGGGAGATGATTGCTCGATTGGTAGGAGAGATAGATCCGCGATGTCCCAAATATCAACGCATTCGGGAGCCTCCTGGAGTTGAGAAATCCAGGAGAGGCTGTCGAACACAGAAGGTCCGGTGGCATAGTTAAGTGCGCAGTCTGTGCGGCTGGGATGCCGGCGGCGTGCTGAACGGGACGACACGCCAACATGGCTTCTACGGCGCTTAGGGGAACATGATGGGGAGGATTTGGATAACTGGAGCGGGTTGAGGACAGAGGAAACAGGCAATGCTGAGGGCTGAACTCACATAGTTGAGAGGATCCCCAAGACGGATGGGTGATAGCAATCTTGGGGGGTTGTTGAAGCCGGAGGATGGAATGCATGGGACGCGCTGTGGGCGGAAGGGGTGAGGCAGTGGAGGGAGATCGCGTCAGGGGGGACGTACTGGAGCCATGTCTGTGAGGTAGAGCGGGGGTTGCGCGGGAGATTGGGATTGCTTTCGCGATGGACGGCGGGGTTGGGGTGACGCGATTGCGGTCATTGGTATGATTGTTGTGGGGATGTCGCGGGGGAATTGGTGGGAGCGATGACTGCGGTGTCGAGAGAAAGAGGGGATTTATATGCAAGTGGAAGAAAGATCAAAGGGAGGGAGGGAACATGGCCCAAGCGGACGCGATGAGGACCGGAAGAGGATGAGAGGGCGACGGATATGGCCATTTCAATCTCCGCCCAAATAGTATATCCCTTTTTAGGCCTCACCAGCCTGCGGCTTCAGAGCTTCAGCAATTGTGCTTGGGCCATTGTCCTGAGTCCTCCATTGCCAGGCAACATACCCTGACCACGTCGCGTAAATGCTCCCTGACGACGATTGTCCAACTTCTGTTTTGCATTGTCAGTAGCCGAACCGTGCTTCAGCATGTCATATCTCGCGGCTCACCAAATCATCCAACCTTTGCAGAAACCCGACAAGCCGTCCGGTTGCCATATCATGATTATTGAGCCCGTCCTGCTCGCAATCATCTTCCCAATCACCCGCTTCCCACGTACCCATTTTGGGAACAGGCCACCGAATGATCCCTGTGGGTCCAGGTTCCTGTACTAAACATCAACATATCTAAAACAGTCGTGCACTACAAAAGGTGGGTAACTGCTTGGCACGGGTCACCTCCCATTATCTTTTGATTCGCAACTCCTTCTGCGAACGACTCCGGTTCAGCCATGTTTGTCCGACAAACCCCGGGGAGAATTCGAAGAAATCACTCTACCTTGTCACCTTCGACCCTCGCGTCCCTAGATGCTTGGATAGCCTCCGACAAGAAACTCGTCACACACGACACCATTCGGGTAGAACACCTATCCGACCTCTACATCACCCTCCCCACTCGCGATGGCTCGATGCATGCACCGTACGCCACTCCCAAAGTCTCCGAGCCCTTGGGCTTTGGTCACCATCTCGTGTTCTTTCACCCAAGAAACCCTGAGCGTATCCTGAGAAGCGACGGTACGGACGCCGATTTCTGCCCTCCGGAACCCTTCACGCGCAGGATGTGGGCCGGTGGCAAGATCAAGTGGCACAAGCCACTATTGGTTGGTAGTAGTGCCACCGCAATCTCTGCCATCCGTTCTGTGGTCAAGAAGGGGATCGATACCGATGTACCTAAAGTATTCGTACAACAAAATATTCAGTACTCGGACGTAGATGGGACGATCTGTATCGAGGAGGAGAGATCACATGTGTATCTATCTTCTCCCAGAAATTCACGACAGATTAGGGATGGTAAGTCACGAAGCATCGTGTACGCATGGTCATGATGGCTAACCTTGTAGCAGTCCCGAACCAACCTGTACCTGACTTTTCTCTACAATTCCGACCGACCCCGACAACTCTCTTCCGTTTCTCCGCTCTGACGTTCAATGGCCACTATATTCATCTTGACAAGGAGTACGCCCAAAAGTCAGAAGGGTACCCTGGTAAGGACGATTCCCTTTTGTTGCGCCTTCAGGTTTGCTGATGGTTTCTACACAGAACGTCTTGTGCATGGTCCCTTGACCGCGCTAATGTTCCTCGAGAGTGTCGTATCGCACGTAAAAGGGTGCAAGCTACACTCATTTGAGTATCGCGCACAAAATCCGCTCGTGGTGAATCGCTCAATACAGATATGCGGTGCTTGGGAGGATGGGAGGACGGTCGAGCTATGGGCCAAGGATGAGAAAGGAGTGGTTGGGATGACAGGGAAGGTTGTTGTAGAGTGAGAATAGATGATATCGTATGGATTGAAGTTGCAAGGAAACAGTGCGCGACAAAGATGAAGGGGAACTAAGCTAAGCTGTGAAAGCTTCGTTGTTTATGCCAAAACTTGTTTGGCCACGTCACACACGGCAAACGCGAAATAACGATAGACGCCAAGCGCGTCGCGTCGGTGGCTGAGGTCACGTGGGTTTGT